TAAAGCATTCACCAAATCACCAATTATGAATCAACCAACAAAATCAAAGTCATTAAAAAAATCAAAACTTTAGGTTTTTACCCAATTTGGAGTAGCAATAGATGAAGCCGCAGGTCGACAAGAAGCAAGTAGTGAAGCAGTGGGTAGTGGTTGTGTTGTGTGCAACACCAAACCGAAGCAGACTAGCAGTGGTTGTGTGCAGCACCAAACCGAAGCAGCAGCAGGAAGAAACGATGGTCTGAACTTGGAACTTGGAAGCGATCGATGTGTAGTAGCAGGAAACGATGGTCTTGGTCTGAGTCATGCGCCGTGTGGAAAGAAGGACAAATAACAAATGAATCATGGGCTAGGCTGGGAATGAGGGGCCTTCATGTTTAAGTTATTGGGGGCCCAATCAGATAAACATAAAACTATAAGTAAAAAAAGCTTTGTGGACTTAATTTTGTTGGGGGCCCAGGACCCCAATCCCAAAGACATGCACCTGCTCCTAGGTGGCAATTGTGAAATATGTATTATGATTATAACTCTTATTGTCACATCCATGAGATGTGACGATTCAGAGTTATCATTTCTTTGTGATGTGAAGACTTGGAGTTATCGCTTTTATTGATATGATAACAATGACGTTATGCAGAGGAGGAAAATGGTTTATATCTAGAGGCTTTAATTGCATGTATTTTGAATAAATAATGTTTTTGGGATATTGGATAATACACTTCAGCTGTTCAAAAGAGTAAAGGTTTGATAATGAACCCAAAGGAACTCTGGTTATCATTAAAACCCATTTTATTTTAAGTTCAATACAATTCTATTTTTTCAAACTTTAGCCAATAACCAAGAACTCTGGTTGGTCGCATTCCCTTGTAAGATTTAGAAGTTGAGATTAGGAGCTCTGATTCTTCTAAGCCATAAGAGCTCTGGGTATTTCGCACCGAATGATGTGAGAACCTTAGTAGTTTCATTCCATGTGTGGTAAGAAATAAATTTATAACTCTCAATTTTGTTTGTGATATTTGAGTTATATTTTATAAAAGTTGTTAGATATTCGTAAATTTATAAATATGATTTTATAATAAGTTTTTGTGATTTTCACCCTGTAACTGCAAAGAAAAAGAAGATTTCTCACTAGACCTCAAGGTCTAATCCTCATTTTGTGTTTGAAAAATGTGCAATGCAAGTCAGGCTATATCAAGGGATAAGGGGAAGGGGAAAATGTGAAATTTTCCTGTTATGCTTATTTGATTTATGAAGAGCAGCATGTTATCTGTTGAATTTTTTGGAATACTTGTTATCTATGCGAGTTGTGTACAAGAGTGTTATGAAGAATTATTGGTTGTCAATTCTTTAATATAGCCTTTTGTACTATTAGGACCAAATATGTATTAACTGTATTTCTGGATATATGAAATACATGGTTATATGCAAATGTGGAACTTGGGGCGTTACATTTTGACTGGCCCTTCAAACTAATGGAGTCCATTCAATTTGGCCAACCCTCTTAAAATGTTAATCTATATAAAAAATTAAATAAACACAAATACCATTAATAAATCAATATATCTCAATATCAAATATCATCAAAGTAATAGAAGAAGAACTAAAGTTGATTATATGGTATTGTGATATTTGAGTATTCATAATTATTCTATTGATATTGAATTTGGTAATCCACATTGATGAGTATACAATAAAGGAAAATGACGTGAGTATATGACTTCTATTTTTTAGCCTACACTCTAAACGAAATACATTTGCATTTCATTATAAGAAAATCAACGAATCACTTTCATCTTAATTTTGTTACATGATTGTTAAATAGACCAAATTCGTCACCGTGCAACGTACGGCGGGAAAGACTAGTGTAAAAACAATGTGGCATTTGGTTTTAATGAATATTTTAAATAAATACATTAAAATTTTGGAACTGCACGTTTCGCGGTGACAATAATTCTAAAGAAATATTGAAGATAAATGGTTGATAAAAGCAACACACTGAAATACGATTGATTGCTCTTCTTCTTCATCACTGTTATATTGTTGGCAAAACGATGATTGATTAGTCTTCTTCTTCATCACTATCACATTTTTTGCATAACAACCATAATTGCCACCGAACTTCCTTTAATTTGTTTGTGTTATAGCTTTTACTGGCTTCTTCACAACACACAACTATATCCTAACAAATTTGATGTTATGTTTTAGCTTCTAATGACTTCTTGACAACACACAACTGTATCCTAGAACACTTGATTGACACTATATGACCTCTTTCATCTTCTATAATCATGCATATATACATATACACACACACACATTCATATTAAAGGAAGAATGAATGTAAAGAAACATCAACTTACCAATAAAAATCTCTTTAATAAGGAAGATGAAAAGATGGTGGGTCTTTTCAATAGTATGTCTTCAATATTTAATATCTTTTCAGGTTCAGTGAGGACAGTCCTCCTAGGAGCGGTTTTTTTCTTTTAAACTAAACCTTAATAGAAGAAAACTATTGTGAAGTGCTTAGAAAAAAGAAAATATAGTTTCTAGTCTTCTAATGTTGTCATGCCACTCACTGGTTTCTCCTTTAATATATATATATATATATATATATATATATGAGAGATGAAATACAAACCACCCAATTTGTACAAACCGTGCAAACCACCTTCATCCGTCAATTTCATTGTTTAATCTTATGAATTTTTTTCATGAAATTGTTTAATCTTGTAAAATTGTTTTATATAATACTTTGTTTTGATGATGTTGTTTCATATAATACTTAATGAAATTTTAATGAAACTGTTTCATGTATTTCTCTAAAATTAAAATAATTAAGATGATAATATCCATGATTAACACCCTCCACAATAAAAATGTTTAATCAACCTCTCATAATTCTAATAGAACCACGATATCTCATTAAGGTGTTCAACCAACAATATATTGAGTTTACAGATCATGCCACATTCGTTATATTTTATTAATATTGCATTTGATATGAAGCTACTTTATTTGTAAACTCAAGATATTCATTAAAACCAAATGTCAATTAATATAGCTTTTTATCTTATTTTGCTTTTCTTTTTCATCGTTTTCGGATGTTCGATTGATGCTTTTAGTGTTTTTTAGCCTTTTTTTTAACTATATCTTGCAGTTGTTTCTATTAAAAATTGAAGTATATGTTTTATAATGTTCTATGTCTTTAATAATATGTCGTCTTAAAAAAATTAAAAATAAATACACCATTTAAATTAAAGCCAAAATGTTTAAAAAGGAACTTTTCATGAGAAAAGATAAATTGGGTAGATACTAATTGATTGTGATGTAAATTAAAAATCATTATCAAGTTTTTCTAATAAATATATAATTTTACATTTTTCACAAATAAATAAATTTATTAACTTTTTAATGGAAAAGAAAATCAATTGTCCCCTCAAACGTCTCACAAAATATTTCGAAAAAATATATGTTTATGTAAATTCTTGGAGAGAGAATGCTAATATTAACCAGGGAGATTTAATTAATAATTAATAATATATATAAAGAGAGAACATTTCAAATACAACTCATTATATTTAATCAATGCAACCCAATCAATTGAGATATTTATGGAAATGATAGAGAGTTCATTAATTATGATCAATACTTTATATTAGAAAACAATTTAAACTTTTATGAAATCACATATTGATAAAATTAATGGACGGTTGAGATTGAGTTGTATAATAACCCATCTCTCTTTTTATATATATAATTAAATTAGAATGAGTAATGAGAAATGAAGGGAGGCATAAATAGATTTTAGGTTTTGATGTCTCATATATTTTTACTTTTCATGTGTTACATCATTCTTTACATTGTACACTAATATTAAAACGCACATGATAGGTGTGACATTGCACAAAAGGATATTACAATGATTTATTTTCAGGCGATGGCAGGTAAATCATCAAAAATTACCAACCAAAAAGAAGAGATGCTCAAAAATGCTACTCTTTCTTACCTTTACCGATACAAGGACGCAAATTAAGGGCAAGTCACATTGCACAACGAGTCATGAGGTTCTTGAGTATATAGCACAAAACAACCTTGCAAAGAAAAAAAAATCAGCATAAAAAGGAAACAAGAATTTGTTTGGCAATTACTGAATGATTTGGTGTAAAATGATTAAGAGACTCTCATGATATAGTGCAAGATAAAATATAATTGTTTTTGTAATTGTTTACGATGAAATTAAGATACTGAATGGTTAAGGGATGCTTATGATACAAAATCATTTACAGAGTTTTAGAACTATTAAGAGGTCTTTTTTGTCAAACAAGATCTACCTTTTAACAATTTAGATGATACCTCTTAACGAAACTATTAAGAAATAAAGATACAAGATAATTAGAAAAAGTGAATGTGAATTGAAAAGGACATGGTAGGCAAACGAGAAGACATGGAAACAAGAAAAAGCCAATATTCTAAAACAAAAACAAAAACCCCTTTAAAAACGAAGAAAGAAAGCGAAATGAGAGAAACACTTGCTTTTGCTTTTCCTTTTCCTTTTTCTTTTTCTTTTTCTTCTCCACAGGAATCTTTCAAAATTCCTGTTTTTATTCCTTATAATAACTCTAACAAATGTAGCAGAATCAATAATCCAAGTACATGATTTACGAGTCTTTTAAATTGTTTATAAAAACAAATTATTGATTTATTTCGGTGTAATATTGGTAATAAACATTTTTAAGTGTTTGATAAACAATTTCTACCATTGCCAAATCGGTAATAAATTTTTTTGAATAAGTTAAACCATTCTGACTTATAATAAATTAATAAATATTTTTATAAAAAGTATGAATTATTTCAAATAAACAATCTCAAACACCCTTTTACGGTCTAAAAACTTAATTAAAAAATAAAATGGAATTCTGGAGTGCAAAGGGTAGAAATGTCTTTTGTGGTGAATTAAGTAAAAGAGTTTCCTCCAATTTCTGTCCGCCTTCCTTGCTTCCTTCTTTCTGTGTCCCGTTGGTAACTCACATTCTCTCACATTAAACGTTCTCTTCTTCTTCATTAATGCTAACATGAGCAGAGTGCGCAGTGCACACCACCACCGCCGGTTATGAATCCCACAACCGACCAACTACCACCACCACCACCACCGGCCTTGCCATTACAGCCACCAAGATCCTCTTTCAGCTGCGACCGCCATCCTGACGAGAACTTCACTGGCTTTTGCCCTTCATGCCTCTGCGAACGTCTTACCACTCTAGATCAATCTGCCATTAACGCCGCTTCCTCCTCCCGTCGTAATTCTACCTCCTCCTCCTCCACCGCTGCCGCCGCTCTTAAATCTATATTCCGAGTGCCTTCTTCCTCTAACACTACCTTCGAGGCCTACAGAAACAAGACGACAGCCACAGGTACAACCAAAACCTCATTTTTCCCGGAGCTCCGCCGTACAAAGTCATTCTCCGCCTCGAAAAACGAAGGCTTAGGATTCTCTGCGGGGGTTTTCGAGCCTCAACGGAAATCGTGTGACGTCCGTAACACGCTTTGGTCACTCTTCTCAATCGACGACGACAACAAGCCCAGGCTCTCCTCCGCTCAACAACAAGCCCTAGGAAACACCGGCACTGTCCTCGAGACCAACAAAGAAGACGAAGAAGAAGAAGAAGAAGAAGAAGAAGAAGAAGAAGAAGAAGAAGAAGAAGAAGAAGATCAAGTTAACGACGAAAATATCGAACAAGAGGTGAGGAATGTGAATGATTCTGAGAACAACATTGTGGAAGAAGTGGCTGAAATTGAAGAAGAAGAGGATGTAATTGTGGATGATTTGAAGACCATGAAGGATCATATAGATCTCGATTCACAGTCTAAAAAGCCAACGTTGTCGAATTTTTGGTCAGCGGCGTCGGTTTTAGGCAAGAAATGGCAAAAATGGAGGCGAAAGCAGAAGAAGAGCAACGAGGACTGCAACGGCGTCCTCTCATCGTCTACATTGCCTGTACCGAAGGCGATTTCGCGTCAGTATCGAGAAACCCAATCAGAAATCGCCGATTACGGATTCGGCCGGCGATCCTGCGATGTTGACCCCAGATTTTCACTGGATGCGGGTCGGATCTCATTTGATGACCCGAGGTACTCCTTCGACGAGCCTAGGGCTTCGTGGGACGGCTATATGATTGGCCGGACCTTCCCACGGCTTCCTCCCATGGTGGAAGACGTGCCCGTGGTGCAGGTGCCCCGTTCCGACATGCAGATCTCCGTCGAAGAACCGGCTAATGCAGACGATATTGTCCCCGGCGGATCTATCCAGACCCGGGAATATTACTCGGATTCTTCTTCCAAGAGAAGGAAAAGCCTTGACAGGTCTAACTCCATCCGGAAAATGGCCGCCGCTGTAGTGGCGGAGATGGATGAAACAAAGGCGACGGCAGTCCCAGTTTCAAACGCTAAAGTTTCTCCTGCAACCATTGATTACAACTACAATCCTGGAGGGTTACGATTTCCAAGCATCGGTGGGGAGCGAGAATTAGCAAGGGATTCAAATTCAAAGTCTTTAAGGGATGATTGTTCAGAGACATTTGAATTAGGGTTCAGGGATAATGGGGTAGAGAAGAAGAAAGGTCGGAGATGGAGGTGGAAGTTATGGGGGTTCATCCACCGGCGTGGCAGCAAAGACGAGGAGGACGATGGGTTTAGCAGAATTAACGGGGTGGTGGAGAGATCTTACTCAGAAAGAGAAGGAGCAGGTAACAGGAAAGTGTTTAGAAGCAATAGTAGTGTGAGTTGGAGGAATTCTTCCAAGAAAATGAATCCAGAAACCAATGGATTTGGGAATGGAAAGAACAGGAGAGCAGGAGGAGATGAGTTTGTCCTGGAACGGAATCGGAGTGCAAGATATTCGCCAAACCACACAGACAGCGGGCTTTTACGATTCTACTTGACACCATTGAGAGGTAGTCGAAGAAGTGGAAGTGGAAGTGGAAGTGGAATCGGAATCGGAACAGGGAAAAGTAGGCCAATCAGTAACTCGCAATCGAACGGTAAGACTCTGCCTAGAGAAGGTTGATTCCACTCATCTATGTTTATTATACATGCTTATGTTTATGATGTAGAGTCAAATTGGTTCCATAATAACATTCAAGTTCCATTTGCCTAATCTAGGAATGTAGATGATATCCAAATATGTGACATTGTTGTTGTCTGTAATGATGAGAGAATGCAACTGATATCAGAAACTGATGAGTTGAGTTTGAACTTTGAATTTGGCAGGAGGAGGATGGAAGCTTAAGCCTTAAGGGGATGGAAAGAGTGAGTGATGAAGGTAATAAGGAAGGAATTCTACTACTGTGGAGGAGGGTACAATTAGTTGAGATAAACAAATGTGAATTGTCAAAGGTAAAGTTTTGATCAAAGGGGAGGGGGGATACAGTTTGTAGAAAGATGGGTTGTTGGCTACAAAATTTAGTCTTTCTTTCTTTCCAAATGTCTGTTGTGTAAGTTTTGTATTTGGCAATTAGGCATCATTTTCCTCTTCTATTTTCAAATCCCAGTTTTGTATTATCAAACCCAAATTATCTCCTACAACGTATTATCTGTCCAATGTTTTTTGGTGGTTAATAAATTGTCTTTTTTGCCTACTTTATTACTCAATTAATAAATATTATATAATAATAAAAATAATAACAACAATTTATGGTGGTGGTGGTGGTGGTGGTGGCGGCGGCGGCCGCCATAGAGGTGATGGTGGTGTTAGTGGCAGAGGTAGCGGTCGTGACCGTGGTGTAAGTGGCAATGGCAATGATAATGATAATGATGACGATGGTGGTGATTGTGGCGGCGGTGGTGGTGGAGGAGGCTAGAGTGATAGTAATAATCTCCATGGTAGGATAAGATAAATAAAAGATATAAGAGCATAATAAACATTAGGGGGTTGTTTGGGATTCTTTATAAAAATAACTTATTGACTTATTTAAGTGTGGCACCGGTAATAAGCATTTTCGAGTGTTTAGATAATAGGAAGTATCTTATCATATTATTAACACATCAAATGTGTTTTTTGATAAATGGTTGAAGTTAAAAAGTAATTTTGTGTTAAAAAACCATGATTTTGTTTTTTCATAGTGTTATGGTTAGAGTTGGCATAAGAGTATCTCTAATCCAAGTACTTATAACAATATTTTTAATTTAACATTAAAAATATAAAACTAAAAATATTTTTATTTTCAATTTGACATTAAAACCTATACAGGTTTTCAAACTTGGCCTTATCTTTTTATATCAATATTATAATGAGCTTTTATAGTTACATATAAAAGAGAGTTTTATTTTAATAACCATGTAATTTCTTACAAACTTTACAAATTAGTCTCAACCATCAGGTAATTAACTGTGTAGATTAAATCGATACCTAAATTTACTTTTAACAGTATTTTATAACGGCCTCTAAATTTCAAAATAAACAAAAACAATTGTTAAGATTAGGTTTGTAGGGTTTGTAAGAATCACATTGTTTGTATTCGGAACTCTCCTATATATATATATATATATATATATATATATCGAGTTTAAGGTTAGTAATTTTTTGTATTAAGTTTGTAAATTATACTTAAATAATTTAATATTTTTTATAAAAAATGAAATTTAGTAAATACAAAAAATATGAACAGTTTTATTACAATTCTGGTTGATAAAACTTAAAAATACTTAGAAAAACATTTGTAAAATTATATAACATTTAACAAAATGTAATGTAATGTAATTAGCAAAAAAAAACATAATATTGGCAATAATTTTATGTCAAGATAATAAGGAAAATTAATATAAATAACCGTTTTCAAGCTTTAGATTTATCTCTTAATTTTTTTTTCCAAATTTCAAAAATATTACTAGGTCCATAAGTGGCACCTCTTTAATTTCTTAAGGGGTCAAAATGTAAAAAAAAAAGTTTTGGAACCAATATAAATTAAATAGAAAATACTAATATAATATAAAAGAATTGTCCTTTCTATATACTTTCCCCGGTTCCATTGCTACCGTGGGCTTTACACAATCGATCGGATTATATAGATATCCCTTCACACAACATAGGCCATCGAAAGGATCTCGTAGACCCACCAAAGCACGAAAGCCAGGATCTTTCAGAAAATGGATTCTTATTCGAAGAGTACTATGAGCCTATTAGGGATGGTAATGGGGCGGGATGGGGGCGGGGACCCCAATCCCCGTCCCCGTCCCCGATCCTCAATCTTTGTCCCCGTCCCCATCCCCATCCCTACCGGAGATTTTGATAACATCTACATTCCCGTCCCCAACGGGGAACGGGGGTCCCCAATGAGGAAATGAGGATTTTTTTTCATGTTTGTGTAAAAAAAATTTAAATCAAATGTTTGAGACGCTACACATATTTAAATTTCACATTTTTCCAATAAACCTAAAATCAAAAGGAATTTAATTTAATACAAAAAATATACGTCATTATATAATAATTAACAATGGAAAATAAAACAAAAAAATTAACGTCACATGTACCAAAACATATTGAGTAATATCCAAAATATATTGAAATAGAAATTAACATTTACTGATTTAATAGAAATAAATAATATAATTAATTTATATATATATATATATATATATATATATATATACGGGGCGGGGTGGGTGATACCCGTCCCCGTCCCCATCCCCGGTTTGAGCCAAACGGGGATACCCGTCCCCGAGACCCGGTTTAACGGGGAATCCCCGTCCTCGACCGGGGTGGGTGGACCGGGTTTCCCGACGGGTCGGGGCCAATTCCCATGCCTACTAGTTATGACCGCATGAATAAGCTAACACTAACCCGTCAATTTAGGATCCAATTCGAGATTTTCTTTGAGAGGTATCGGGAAGTAATTGGAATGGAATAATATTGATTCAGACAGAAGAAAAGGTTCTCGATTGATTCAAACACTATACTTATGGGATAGAGGAAGAAGAAAAAACCGAATATTTCAGGACAAGTGATAGCAGAAGTTTGAGATCAAATGTACAAATTCAGTCCTTACACTTTCAGATCTGGTTGAGAAACTTAAAATATTAAAAGAAAAAGAAATAAAAGGAAGGAGGGTAATTAGAGTGACCCAAATCCCATGACAAAATGATTAGATTGAGATATCTCATCTTAAAATCAAAAAGATTCAAACACAATAATTCTGTGGCAACTAAATAAAGTCAAAAAGTCGCCCAACATGCTTCTGCTCCTCCACCTCTTTTAAACCATAACTTTTACATGATTCCACTATTTTTATAATCTAAGAAAGTTTATTTAAATGTTTATCCGATAGGCGTTTATGTTAGGAGTCAATATTATAATTTATTTTTACTGGGTAAGATTGTAGTACATCAAAAGAGTATATTATGCAATAATTTACCCTGTAAGCATTTATCCGGGTAAGAGTCGTCATCCTCATTTACCGAATAAAACTCTCCATTTTTATCATTGTTCTTACCGGGTAAGATTTTTGACTCTTGTCATGATCATCCGGTAAGAAAAATTACCCGGTAAGCACTTACCAGGTAAGCATATGTTTAGTAAACGGCCCCTAACACATCCATCTACCAATTTTGTGAAAGTTGTCCCATGCATTTTTAACACTCGTTTTTTTAGTTTTTTGGTTGATGTTTTTCTTGTATTTTTTTAATATTGTAAAACATCTTTTAAAATTTAACGGGTACACTTTTTATATCCTCAAAAAAAAAATTTACAAAAATAGGTTGAACAGATACACAAGACCCTTGTTTAAGATTTGATGGGTTCACTCATGAACAAAATCATTCAAATTTAAGTATAATCTATAAATTTATTGTAATACATTTATATAAGACATACATTTGTTTGGTATAATTGAATGTCTTATGAGACCAAACAATTATACATCCTATTAATAAAATCACATACATTTGTTTAGTAAAATAGCCCAAAAATAGTTAATTGTTTGGTCCTATAAAAAAATATAATCCTTTGGTCTCTAATAAAAATATAATAATTAAAATACACTTACGTGAAGAGTACTCAACGACTTGCACTTGAACGATGTTATTGATAGAAATTAAACTTATAAAAACATGAAACTATGATGACCAAAATATTAAAAAAAAACTAATTGTATTAAAAATATTTTAATTATTTTATCATATAATAATAATAAAATAATATAATTTTTTTTTATCTATTAACTTTTTTATCAATAGATATATAGTTTTACTAAATAAAAAAATCAAGAAAAGAAACTAAAAAATATATTTAATAAACCAAAAAACAAAAATAAATAGAAAACAGAAGTACTCTTAAATAAATGAAGGAATTTTAACATATTTAGTCTCAAAAATGAAAACAACGATAAATTATAAATGATAAAGACGAAAATCATAATTTCAAAATTAGAGGAACGAAAGTCACAAACTTTTTGGAATCATAAAAATGGAAATTGGTAGTTTACTTTTTATTTAAATAAATAAATAAATAAATAAATATACATATATGTATAAGTTATTATGCAACCCTTTAATTATATAGTTGAATTATTTAATTTGATGCATATGTGATTTTATAAAAGTTTAGATTGTTTTTTAATATAAAGTAATAATAATAATCAATGAAACTCTAGTCATCTTCCATAAATATTTATAATCATAATAAATAAATTTTAATTATTCTTATAAATATCTCAATTAATTAAATTGCATTAATTATACAAATATGATAGGTTACATTTGAATCAAAGTTGACGATCGAAATTCTGAAGATCTCTGTATTGATGTTGACAAGATTGTCCGTGACATTTTGGTATATCAAGTTTATGTTAACAAAGATCAGATACACCATGTACATATATCATTTACGTCAAGTATCATTCGAGTCACCGGCAACAGTGCTTCTTCCTTGCTAGAAGTTTAGTTGTAAGTTGCTTATTACTTGTCACTATGCTTTTGAAACATTAGCTCACATTGCAGATACAAATTTTGTTCTTGATATTTTCTCTTTACCTTCCACAAAATGAAAGTACACAGTTTTTTTTCTCCCAAATACTCAATTTGTGAATACATTTTGAACCGAAGGTAGTTTCTCACTTTATGGGATGATAACTCGTGGGATGTATTTATATGGTGCCTCCAATTATCTATGCTCATTTAGCAGTTATTCAGATGTCTCAATTCCTCAAGTATGAGAATCCCAAAAACTGAGAGAACCGGAAGACTGACTATTCTAGAACATTGATTTTGCAGATTTCAATAGTTGAAAAACAATGAGAATATTTATACATGTAATTTTAGCTTGAAATCATAACAAAAAAGTTAAAATTGAAATTCCTTTAGAAATCTAAAAATGAAGATGGTTATAGTCAATTTTGGGGACCAATCTTAATGATTGGAAATTGTAACACGCCAAATCACAAATTGGTACAAAAACATATATTCGTGCAAATTCTTAACTGTGATCATAGATGTTTTGGCTTGTCAGTGGTTTATTTTTTTTTAATTTGGTGCAAAAACATACATTCAGTCAAGAATTTCAAGTTTTGTATGAGTTCTGAGTATGTGGATTTAGAAATCCAATACGTGTGCAATTATTTTTCCATTCGATCTTGTTAATACATTA